CCCTACACGCGTTTAATTGGGTGCTATACAGCCCAAAGTGGGTGAATTAAAATTCATCACAGGCAGCACAGATCAGTCTCAAATTCAAAGAGCTTACATATAGCATATTTTATAATAAAAGATGTAGCTTTCAACAGAGGCATTTCCAAAACTCAAAACAGTAATTTAAGCTTACTCAGTTGGGTTTTAAACTACTATATAATAAAAAAAAATAAAATAAAAAAAAAAAAAAAGATTTTTAAACTGAAGAGCTGTCCTTCAAAAGTATAAAACAGGAATTTAGGCAACTCATGACTATCCATACCAGGCAGTCAGCACAGGCTCAGTGTTCTCTCAGGAACACAGATTCCACTGAAAATCTCCCACTATTCACCCTATCAGGCAACACGCCCAAAGCAAGCCTTGTTCCCCATCGGTGCTAACCAGCATAAATTTAAGAGAACTCGAGACTAAATTACAAAACTTACTGTTCTTCTACATCTTAAGGTGAAGTTTTCTACCCAAAAGCCATGAAATGATTGAAAAATCAGTTTGAACCCTGTTTAGCAAACAAATGCAGCCCATGCCCAAGTCTGAGTCAGCTTTCACAAAGCCAGTGGGATTTCTTAAGCAGTGACATACTTAATTTGGCCTATAATAAGGATTTATACAAAGAATATTTTGTTTTCCTCTGAGTAAATTAATAACTAGAACATAAGCCAAAATCTTCCCTGGTTTTCACAGGCTCAAACCCAAGTTACCCATCTTATACGTCATTTATTGCAGCAGAACCCGTGTAATCCAATTCTTCAACATTTATGTCATTCTCATTGTTTTCTTCCTAGAACTGCATGCACTAAGCTGCTGAACTAATCTGACATTAAGTCTAAGTAAGTCAAAAAACACAAAGTCCTGGGCAGAGTTTGCCCTGTTCCCAATACCCATTCACATTTATGAGGAAAAAAATAAAAAGTGAGGCAAACAGTGACCATGAAAACCCCGATCCCAGTCCTTGCAGATCTTGATTTCGTCAGCCAGGGACAGAGAAGGGATGTTACTCTCTTATGATTATTTTTAAGCTTCATACTAAGCCTCACCAGCCAGGCAAAAGTCAGCGCAATTACCTTGTCTCTCTCTTCCAATGCCCACGTCACTCCATGGGCAAACAGAGGAGGCAGTGAGACAGCTGACGGAAACTGGCCTTTTGCACAACCCAAGACTTTAATAACGACAAGTTATCTTTTGTTTAAGCAGGAGAGACCACAAGTTCTGTAACCAAGCATTCGCTCCCCACTCTGCGGCTTCTTGGCTCCCTGTCTGGCTCTACCCCAGACCTTCACTATGCTCCTCCACGGTCACGGTGCGGTCTCTCCTCTCCAAAAAATGTGGATCGTGACCTATCTAGTCAGGAGGACCTGGTAGTGCTGGACATGGCAAAGTGCACCTCTGGCCAAACAGAAAGACTGAAAATTGTTTCATCGTTATCCCTCTTGAAGCCCAAGCCAGATGATGCTGTTGATTTTCGATACTTGTAGGCTAAGTATAGAGGAGGGGAAGATGGTCCCAACAAAGGTATCTAGTGGAAACAGGTACCACAGGACAAAAGTAGTAGCAGAAAATTCCCAAACTAGAAAGAAAACCAAGAATAAAACCAAGACAGCCTGTTCTTCCGCAGAAACAGACTATTTTTTTATCATGACCGTACCACGTTAGATGGCATCACCTGGAATAATACATCTTGGAACATAGGTACACAGTTAGAAAGGGCTAGATAAGGAAGAAAACCTAGGAAATATCAATTCCTCCTAACTCTGAGTTGGCATGAGCACTGTGCAAGAGCTCTGTGGAAGGGCTATTTATGGAAGACTGTGACCTTAAAATGAGAACGTACTAAAGGCTAATATTTGGCATTTTTCTTGCTGAAGCTTAGCAGTCGCAGCATCTCAGCAGCAGAAAGAAGGCTTTAACACCCATTAAACCGTGCACACAATGCTGACACTTTTTACAGCTTCACTATCATTTGCTTCCCTGACTACAAAACCACATGAAATCACAGCGTAACGGAGCACCACGGAGGTTTCCGCTGTCACCAGCCAAAACTGGACTAGAAAAACAAACACGTGGAAATGCCACATCTCGGCTCTGTCTTTCCCTTTCCAAAGCCTAAATAAAGACAGCAGCTCTGCAGAGTTCAAAATATCATCTGAGAGGAAAGATAAGAGACATGTGGAAGGGGGCAAGGAATAGAAAGGAGAAAATGAGGTTCGCCAAGTGAGTTTCTCCAATAAAGTGTTCAAAGCAGCACTGAGCTCTGCAGAAGGTAGAAGGAACATGTGCAATTTCTGTACAGCACCCAAAAAGCTGCAGTGCCT